CATCTCGGTCCTGCTTTATGCTGAGCAGGTGGGTGGCAGACTTCTAGTGACGGCGTCCTCCAATAAAATGCAACATGAAGGACCTGCTTAGCTCAACAAATGAGCCGATGGAAGTGGGAGTGATCTTGGCGAACCACTGTCGAGTGGTTGGGAACGCTCGGCACATGATTTCGTTAGGGACGTTGTGCAGTTGCATCAAGATCTTAAAAGTTTCAAGGTGGTCCAATGGATCCTTCGTACCATCAAGGTTTCGACGAATGACATCTTGAATTTTTGAGGGAGTGGGTAGTTCGCCACGTCAGGTTTGAAAGGTGTGTCGGTTCGACTTACAAGGTAATCCATTATCTCAGGTCCTCGTGCCTTCATAGCGTTGAAGACATCACCCAATTGATTCTGCACCTCCTTAATTTTTTCGTCCCAATGATTAGGAGGAGGTCCCTTGGAATTACCATGGATATGGCTCCTATGCTCGAAGCTTTAGTTTTCACACTTGTCATCTTGGAAAAGAGGGTCTCCACCATGAAAAGAGGGAGCTAGAAGAGGAGGTGGAGGTCCCTTGTGGGGAGCTCCCTTGTGCGGGGCGTCTGAGGGGACTCCAAAAGGGGCGCTCAGATGAAGAACACCCATGTGGGGAGCTCCTTGACGCCCAGGGCATGGAGCTCCTTTGACTTGAGGTCTAGGCTGTGCTCTTCCTCCTATACGAGGAGTGCCCATGTGGAGAATTTCTTTACGCCCAAGGAGCATTAATTGTAAGATCTGTTGGTTCTGGGCCACAAGTTGTTGCATGGTCTCGAGCATCTGCTGCTCATTTGGGGCAGGATTGGTTGGTTAAGGAGCAACCACCTCCTCTCTTGGTGGTGGGTTATCTTCAGGCTGATTCATGGATCTGTTGGTGATCAACTTTGACTCAACAAAGGAAAGTGGCTAGGTGAGAACTGTCGTTCCCACAGACGGCGCCAAACTGATAATGTCAAATTAGTTTGCACACCACTAGTCAAGTTGTAGTATAAAATGCAGTAAGTAGAAGGAGAGAGAAGACAGGATTTATAGTGGTTCGATCAATACGACCTACGTCCACTTTAAATGGCTAGGTTCGCCAGAATTTTATTATCTCCGGTATGGAGGGAGAGCACATGATTACAAGCTTTTTAAGAGGGAATGAGAGAATTATGCTCAAATGAGTCTGATGCCCCCCAAGTATTGGGAGAGCTTACAATTTATAGTGGCTTGACATAGTAATTGTATAATTAGTCTGACGGTCATAATAGCTTAGGACCGTTTGATAGTAATTAAGTAGCTGATTTGGTGGAGGTGACCTATCATCTTCTCAACGGGCGAGGTGTGACGGTTGGTGTGCTCTCCAAAGGACTTGTTCAAGGATGAGGGAGGTTGACTCTCTCCAACTGTGAGGGTGAGGCTCCTGGATGCTCCCTTGGTGGTGTAGAGGAGACTCTTGGATGACCTTTATTCCAAGGTGATAGAGGAGACTCTTAGATGACCCTTACTCCAAGGTGGTAAAGGAGGAGGCTCTTGGATGAACTTGTCTGCTCCTTGCTGATGTAGTAGCTCCTTGAGCCTGATGAGCTTGATCAGGTTGACCATATTGGATTGAATTGGATTGAATTTGTTGAATTTCTTAGAATCGGACTATAAACTAGGACCAGACTTATAACGCTAGTTGGGCCTTTGGGCTTGGCCGATCACTACATAAGACCTCCCTCTTAAGAAAAGGTTATCCTGAGTTTTTATTGATTGAAACAGAATAGTACATCTTCACTTGCCTACATCATCTTTGAATTTCAAATTAACCTTCCCAAGCACACATTTCTCAAGAACAATTCTGCACATTTTGCTTGACTCCACAAAATTCATTTAGAAAATCAGGTTCAATGTCCATGAGAACTATGTCACCCAATGAAAAATTGAAGAATAAAAAATGTTGTGCACCACAATATTCTTGCTCAATTTTAACATCAACATCAACATCAACATCAATGCATGTATTGTTGAAGTGTCAAGTTAATTGCCATACGGTTTTATAACATTTTCTCCCATGTGATGCTCATAATTTCCAATTGCTTTTTAGCATGTAGAAAAGTCATGGATCCTTTTATGCCTAAGAAATTACTTGATTGGTGATAAACATCTAAGACTTTGTTGTTTTTCCTTCCCCTCAATAAAAGTAATTTTACTATCACAATTTGTTTTCAATTTTCTCTGCTAGATAACCTCCAAGAAGTTCTCCTACATGCATTCATCTTCTTCCTTAGTATTTTCTCTCTGATAACAATCAATTTGTTTCTGATTTGGATATGTTTGATTCTCAAATATAGGAATACTTGAATAGTCGCTTTCTTTCTTAACTTTTTGATTCTCGAGGTGTTTGAAAAATTCACATTTATGATGAAAAAGATTGTGACTCAGTATTATCTTAGATCGATTGTCCCAATACAAACTGCAATTTGTTGTCTTGTTGATTGATATGTACCATATTTTTCAACATCGTTATGATAGGTGATACTCAAGTAGTTGCACCACGAATACACTGTCTTATAGGATAAATAGAATTATAATCTCAAAAAGGTTGAACACGAACTATCACCATTCAACACCTTATCTCGATTGAGATCTTGGTTTGGACCCAACATCAATTGGACAACCATAATGTGTAAAAAAGTTGAACACGAGTCCTATCGCCATTCAACAAATTAGGAACCATGTGCTGCTCGTTGATTAGAAATCATACCAGGTTAGTTAATGTTCTAATACCAATTGACGCAGCAGAATAAAGAATATAAAGAACACAATGATTTTTTATGTATCAAACTAAAAGGAACATTTTGAATCCACAGGAAAAATTGAGAAAACCTCTAAAATATAATATTATTCAATTGTAATATATGTGAGAATTTACAGGAAAATCAAATGCCTAAGATTTTTAAAACGGAAACAAATTCATAATCTTAGGAAAGTTATCAAAAACAAATAAACACATGTCTAATAAATTAAAAAAAATTGACTTATTTCAGAAAACTAAATATCTCAAAATACTGTTAATTAAATCCTAATTCAAACAATGAAACTAAATTAAATTAAATATAAACTTACTAATCTTCTTTTACATCACACATTTCCCCTACGTGATGGATACCATCTTTCAAAGCTCTGCAGCCCATTTCGTCTAAATCTGCAAACATCCTTCGAACATAGTTCCTAATTAAACACGGCCCTGGGAAAAAAAAAAAACACGGCCCTGGAAAAAAAAAAATAATAATAATTGTGTTAGTAACCGGTCATGACATGTTGATGTTGTTGTTTCTAAGTCATTTCATGTGAACACATATTAACTTAGACCTAACTCATTACGTATGCGTTCTATATAGTCATGTATACATAATAATATTTATATCACATGTAATCGGATTCATGTTAACTTTTTTATACACGGGCATTGTAGATATCTGTTGGTTTTTTTTTATGGAGTCTAGTTTGTATATGTGATCCGGATGATGACCCGACCCAAAATAATGTTGTGTGGTTTTTAATGGAAAATTTTATGAGGCTTAGTCCATGGAGCGAAGGCTTGGGCCGATATACAGCCCAGTGCGTAGGACATATAAACCCTGTTGTTTTGGTGATTAGGGTTTTGTTGTGGATTGTACAGTCACTCTCTGTAATTCAACTCTCTCAATAGTGAAATCCCTGCAGCTTCGTGGACGTAGGCAAATTGCCGAACCACATAAAATCTGTGTCTTGTTCTTTCTTGTTTCTTATTGCTTTATATTCTTGATTTGTTCTTCGATTGTGTGTGTTTGTTAGTGAATTAAATCGAGTTAAATCCCAACAATATCATTGTAACCCTAATTTGTTGATGCTAAACCCACACCTTGTAACTGTATTTTGATCTTGCATCGAAATGATTGGTCCTGCTAAGAATTTTCAAGAGCATATTTAAAAGATTATTTAAGCGACCCTTTTTTTTAATAAAATTTCGAAAGTTTTCAATTTATAGAAAATGGAATTAGTTCAACTTCAATATTCCCATCAAACAATTCCTCTTTACTGTCATAAGGAGATTACTTAATCAAGCAACCATATGACCTCAGGACAAAGAAACTCAGATAAGTCTTTAACTCCACAAGACCACTTAAATTTGCTACATAGCAAAATCCCTTAATCTGTGGCAACATACTTTAGACCATCCATCCATCTGCTACAAAAGTTGGAAATCATAACATGCTCAATCGATTCATGAGGTAAGATGGTTGGGATTTATTATTCGAGTTCTAAAACAATCACAAATAACTTTAATTGTCGCGATTATTCAATTTGGATGATTCAAGTGTTTCAAAATCGATATACGTGACTAAGCAAAATTATACTGTATAAATAAGAATTTTTCCTTGACAATGTGTGTGCAATTAACATGCTAGGATAATGCAAATGTGAAGCCACAATTAACCTATCATATAAGAAAAGGTGTTCAAATAAACTAGAGTTAAGGTGATCGAGAAGAGATCTCCACACCAACAAAATCTATGAAGGGAACATTCCTTCCTTTTTTTTTTTAATGGATTGATCTCATGATCTCTGCAAGAGGCAGCGAATTATCGTCAAAACTCACCAACCCCATCTTGACCATCCAGCGAGTAGCTCCATGAGCAACTACTGAATGAAGCAACCATACCAACCCCCGCCAAAAAAAATAAAAAATACATCAATTTTCTACGAGTTGGAAATCATGAATATGCTGAATCGATCCACGAGGAGAGACTTAGGATTTATAAAGCAAACTGCAATAGAATTATATCACAAATCTAATCACAGGAATAACTCAATTTGTTTGCTGCAAAGTGTTTCATTGTTTCAAAATCGATACATGCGACTTGCAAAATTAGTCTGTATAAATAGGAATTTCTCCTTAACAATTTTTGTGTAAGGAAGATGCAAAAGTGAAGCTAAAATCATCCTATTATATGAAAAGTCTAGAGTTAAGGTGATCAAGAAGAGATCCCCACACCAAGAAAATCAATGAAGGGAACATCCTTCTTCTGAATTGCATGATCTCCTTGCTGTTGCTCAAATGTCGACCTCATGATCTTTGCATTCGGCTGCGAATTATCACCAAAACTCACCAACCCCATCTTGGTCATCCCATGAGCAGTTCCATTAGAATCACCAAGTTCACCAACCCTTTTGTAGCCGCCGCATACAGAAGAATTTAAATAGAAATTGTAGAGAAATTGTTCTGAACTGTTGAAGCTTCCACTAGTGCAACGGAAAGAACTAGAACTAAATGCTTTTCTACTTTCTCTTCCAAGTAAATCAACTAAAGTTGAGTTATTAGCAGCTAAAATGGCCCATCTTGCGATAGTCCATGAAGGGGATGAACTGGAGGGAGAGACTGAGGAAACATGATCTTTGTTTGTTGCATTTCCGAGTACGAAATTGTGATCAACGTGGATTTTTGAGCTATAATCCTGATGAGTTTTTGAATTCGTTCGTCGAAAACTGTTAGGGGGAGGGTTGGAGTGAGGAAGAGAATCTTGGCAGCTTCTCTTAACAGTTAGTTTGGAATGTTCTCTTTGCTTTCTTGCCATAATAACATGCCAATGATTCTTTACAGCGTTATCAGTTCTACCTGGAAAGAGCCTGGATATGAGTGCCCATTTGTTTCCATGTATACGATGAGCTGCAAGAAGCATTTCTTCTTCTTCTTCTGTAAACGGCCTTCGGTTAATTCTTGGGTCAAGTTGATTAAACCACCTCAACCTGCAACTCTTTCCTGAATATAGGAGGAAAGCCAAAACACCCATTTCTTAGAATTTCAGAACTAGTTGGGACTAGAGAGAGACGTAGAAATTTAGAGAAAGAGAGAAATTGGAGATACTAAAACAAAAGAAAATCAGAAAACCAAAATACCTAATGAGCTTATTGTTCATTGGTGTGATTGGTTACATTAAGCTAAATCTTATGTTGAAGTTAAACCATCAGACATTCTGATCATCGTTTATAGTTATCGTGACTACATTTATAATGATAAATCTTTTTGAATCTTACAATATCTTGAATACTTCGCAATAGCACACAGAAAAGATGAAACAAAATATCCGAAATGATATCAGAGCTCAACCCTAAGTTATCACACCACATATAAGAGAGAGAGAGAGAGAGAGAGATAAAGAGGGGTGTATTCAGCTTTAAAATCATCATGGAAGGATTATCCTTTAGAAGAACTTGAGGTTTGAAAAGATGTTCAACTAACTGAAAGAGAATGTCCTCCTAACCTTTGAATTACTGCCATATATCTAGAATTACATAAGATTCAGCGCAAGCACACACACGCACACACATAGAGATCTAGTCTTTACCTGATCTTCCTTGGAGCTTCTCGGAAATTGAGTTCCAATTCTGGGCACCATATTGTTCAACAAGTTTCCGGAGTTTTTCATCCTCTGCCGGTCTCCAGTGACCTCGAGGACAAGTCCCGGCATGATCATCTCTAGAGCCACCTGCAGTTTTGTCCATCGCCGCCAACGGTGACTGTGGTAATTTAGGCTGAACATTCAATCAAATACACCACGGAGAAGTCCAAAGCAAGATTTAAACGAGTAGAAGAAATAAGCACCCAAAAGAATAAGAAAGGGGGTGGGTTAGGGTTGTGGATGGCCAGTCACTTTTGTTGGTTTTACACGACAAATTGGAGTTCGTATGTAACTGTACAAACACTGACCCTTTCTTGTTTTGCTGTTGGCCCATGACCTCTATTAATTCCCACCTATTTTCGTTTTTCTTTCTCCTTAATTGACTGCATAAAACTCAAGGAGAGCAAAGTCCAATGTGATTAACATATGAAGAAGAGATTGTTACCACACATGTTTATTCATAGTATACTAAAGACTTTTATTTTATTTACAATATCTTAAGACACTTTTATTTTTATTTTTTAATCTAATGTAAGATTCTCACACATGTGATATCCTAACATTACTTCTCTCTCCCCTCAACCACGATACCGAGTTAAATCAAGCCAACCTAGTGTCACCTCGTTTATTATTACATATACATTGGTCCAAGCCAGAAGGCTATCTTGTTGCATAAAGATATACCAGTAGCCTTAATTAGGATTTGATCCTTTAAGCTTTTCATTCTTCTTGTATGGTGCAGCCTATTGGCATGACATCTTTCCAGCACTGTTAATATGGATACATAATTTGAAGTCTTTTGAGTTTTGAAGAGGTAAAATCAGTGTATTTGTAAGCTAAATGGTGGGCAATTAATCCCTCCATTAATGGCATGTGAGATCTAATTAATTGTATCCAAATATCATATTAAATAGGATGGCTAATGACTTCATGTGGACAATATATATACATTTCCATGCAGATGGCAAGTCAAATACAAATGTTGAAAGATTACAAGTAATGACTAATATCACAATTTGATTTCCTAACTGACAGATCATTCGATATCCTACGAAATCAACCACTTATCTTCCTATCTGAAGAAGATGGTTTCAAATTGCTTAACTATTAACATCATCATTAATCAAGAAAACAAGCCATCTCCAACGGTGGGTGCTAAATCAGTATCTAACCAAAAACCATGTGTCTGCCTGCGATAAGAACTGTGTAATCAATTTTAATTTTTCTGCAACCGATTGAGTGAAATTCTCGAGATGTATCTAGTTTTTTTTTTCCTAAAAAGAAGTTACGTAATAAAAAAGATTGTAATATAAAGATGGATTGTCTTTTTTCCAGAATAGCTGTAAGGATGACATTCTCTTAAAAATAAGGTGTCTAAGGAAAAACCCCATGGAAAAACTGATGGAACAACCTTTCCAGAATAGTTGCAGCTTCACATTTTATATCTTTAGCTTTTTTATTTCAATAATCGCCTAGGGAATGTACTCAGAGGACCAGTTCAAAAAAAATGTACTCAGAGTCAGAGAGGAGGAAAAACATCCCACAGAGAGAGAGAAAGAGAGAGAGTCTCGATGAAGAAAACTTAACATTAGAATGAAGCTTTCAATGAGAAAGTTGTTAGGTTGAGTTATTTCATGAAAGATTATGATATGAGCGCGATTTTAATGCCAAACGTACAAGTTAGAAGATATGCAGAGTTTAAAGTTGATAGGCTGCTGCTAGGTGAAAGAGAAATATCATCAGAATAAAAATTATCTGTCACTTACCTCTTATGTATATATTCCCGAGACTTGTACATAGGGCTGTCAACAAATCAGATCCGGATTTGTCTTGATCTAAATCCGAGTTTTGAATCCGCTTCATTTATCCGACAAATTTAAAAATCTTAATTATATCTATATCCGTTAATAATCACATATCCGATCTGATCTAAAATTTTGAATCCCAACAAAATTTCAAAAAAAATTTAATAATTTTATCAAATTTAAGTTAACTTTCAACTTAATTTAATCAACCAATTATGCTACAGTAATGCTACACTGACCAAATTTTTCAATAATTTCTGTTTAATTTCATGTCCATCTAATTAATAATCTAACTAAGAATATATGTATATACAATAATTTCTCAATTAAATATGTATGTATGTATGTATGTGTGTATGTATGTATGTATGACGGATTATATTTTATCGGATCAAATTTACACGTATCCAAATCTATTTAAAGCAACTTAATCAGATTCAGATTGTATTTAAGGGTGTGTTTGTTAACCCAAATTCACCACCTAAAATGAATATATTTGACACTTATTAATTAAGCTCGTTTGATAACTAAAATTTCAATACTCTTAATATGTTAAGTGCTCCTTTAAAATAGGCTACAATATTAAGTAGGAGATCTCTTATTTAATTCTGAAAGTTGAAAAACGTTCAGTAAAATCATCTTTAATAATATTTATAATATGACAATTATACCCCGAATATTTTACAATCCTATTAAAACTCTAATTAGTGTTATCTCCAAAACCCCTAACCTATCTATCCTCATTTTCAGTCGTTTCTTTAGATAATAGGTGTTCTTCTTCTTCTTCTTTTTTTTGCTCGTGTGCCGCAAATAAACATGTTGAAACATATACCAATGTTCACTGTACATATATACGCACACCCACCCGCCCACCCACCACCAACACAGAAGCACAAATTGCACACACACCCACACACATTTTATTAATGAGATTTAATTTATTCTATTTTTTTAATTCGATTATTTATTTATTTTTATTTATTGTTTTTCGATTATTTATTAATTATTATTTTTTTATCAAATGTTATTTTTCACTTATTGTGTAATTTAATTTGTTATTGTTCATTTTTTGTGATTCGATTATTTATTTGTCATTGTTCGTTTTTTTTTTTGATCAGATGTTATTATTCAGTTATCGTGTTATTCAATTTATTATTGATTCGATATATTGACATTTTTTATTAGATAAAAATATATTTTATAAATATTTTTAAATTAAAGAGTGGAAGGATAAAACTAAAAATTAATTTATTTTTAAACATCAGTTCTGTGTAGTTATCAAACAATTTAGTTTAATTCAGTGCTTAAATTTTAGTAAATATCAAACAGTCCACAAATTCAGTATTCAGCTTTCAGACTTCAGCTTTCAATTTTATCAAACATCACCTAAGTAAATAGATTAAACTATTAATCTATATCCGATTAAATGGACTCGAATTCAAATTAAAAACCACTTCATTGACAAGCCTACTTTATCCCCGTTTTATTATTTCCACAAGGCTTCTTCCCATATTAAGTAGATTTATCCGCACTGTTTGTTTGAAAAGCTCTTTAAATTGGAAGCTTTATTCTAATTTCATCAGTAATAATTTTAGTAGAGAAACAGTCTTTGGCCACATAATGGATGTACCTTCGAGTTTAAGACATATTTGATTAGCTGCAGGGCTTGGTTTGACTTTGTTCTATCTTTTGCCTTTCTACTATTAATGGCTTTTCTTTTATGACTTCATCTTCCAGGCTCCTACTAATGATCTCCTGATCGTTTTCGTCATCCAAAAAATAGAAGTCTTATAAAGTGCATCAAATCCCTAATTCTTGTTGATCCAAGATGGGTGGAACAATGTCGGCGGTGATTTGTCAATAGAGAGAGAATTACATGCAATCCCAAAAGAGAAATATAAGTGATGCAATAATTGAGAAAAATCGACATAGTATCGTTCGGGTGAGTAAGAATTTAATCTATATTTATAGACATGCAAGACACACATTCAACTGAATGCAAGACATACCGGCCAGTTTAAGTCAAATCCTAAAAAAGCTACAAAAAAAAAAAAAAAAGGGACTATGTTTGATGAATCTGCGCGGTATTAGGTACTTAGTCATGCTAAGGCTGACCCAAACCAATAGTACTTGGCTAGTCTTTTCAAATGATCAAACACGGCCCAGACTCCTACAGGGGCATGGTGCTCTTTTACTCACAAAATCTAGTGCAATTCATTCTACATTAGAATTGATAGTAATGGAATAACCTGTCTTAGCTCCTTTCCTCCTCCCCTCCCCCACAAGTGTGTGAATGAATAGAAAGGTTGACCTTCAAACAATAAATGCAAAGCCATTAAGTGACGCATATTGTCACACCCCCACCCTAGATTACGTAAGGTAGGCAGCGAACCGATCACCAAGATTTTAACTAACTAATTCTGTGTATAATAAATGTAAATACAGCAGAAGATAAATAATATAGTAATTTATTCCACTGACCTAATAAATAACAGAGGAATAAACTAAACATCACCAATATTATTACTAAACTTATGTAAAACGATAATTAAATCATAAGGTTTACTACTCTAAGCATAAGAGACATTGTTCCCAAAACAATTGAATATTTGTCTCAAAACTATAAAAGACATTTATTCCTGAAGTCCTACAATAAAATAAATTTTTAATTCATCTAATCCCTTGTCTATCTGGGGACTTAATCCTCCCTCTAATCCTCACTTGAAAAATGTTCAATATTTATATGAACACAATGACTCGTAAATAATAATCACCTCTAATGAGGTGTGAAAATAAATCGCACAACCTATATACAAAAGTAAAATTTGATACATATATAAATACAATAAATCATAACCCAACCCTTCTCACATAATCATTTAAACAAAATGATCTCATGATCACAAATAACTTTATAAATAAAAAGACATTTATAACCCAAAATACCACTTATTTTCACATTCATAACCCCAAACACTCACACACACATTCAATTTCAAATACATTTATCAAATCATGTTTGTTATCACTAGCCTAATAACTGGTCTCGTTTCTTGTTACCACTAGCCTGGTAAATGGCTCCGTCTCTTGTCATCACTAGCCTGATGATTGGCCTCTATATGCACATCTGTATACCAATCACACCGGTATATAATCTCATTACCATTTAGACCTGGTAATCCAGTCCCCGTCTCATAAAACATGATTTTTACGCACACAAAAGTTTTCTTTCATCACCAAAGTAATGATATAAAATCATTCCAAAAGTTTTCCAAAGTTCACGTTTATAACAGTTCACAATTGCAAAATATTTAATTGCAACCTCAAATATCAACACATATATCATATATATAAAAAATTCGCATACACCCACACATTTGATATAGAAAATCCTCCCAAAAGAAGTAGTAAAATACTCACCTTGATTACCAAAATTCAATTCCAAACTCTCTTTATCAATCTCAATACAATCACCACCTAATCCAAAATAACATATAACGATTAATCCATATTCCTAATTTCGTCATTTCGCGATTCTATATTTAATTTATGTACTTCCTACACATTGATATATATTTAATATATATCCTTTACAAATAAATATCCTTTCTAATATGAGGTAATAAGGTATAAAAGTAGTCTGGGCTGTTCAGAAAAAGTTTCTAAAGTTTTGGAATCAAATCATAAGTTTTGAAACTTTTGGGGTTAAAGTGTAATTTTTTTAAAATTGAATTTTCTACTTTCAGGACTACCATAATTTTTTCAAAATTTTATTCTACCAACTTACCAAGTAAATTAGTGGCTAAAGTTAAGTTTAGAAGAATATAGGGGTCAAAGTAAAGCTCTTTGAAACTCAAAGGGAGGTTTTC